TTATCGGGAGGTGCCAGACTTCCACGACTGCTCTGGTGGGTGAGTACTGAGTAGTATGTAAGTAAATACACAAACCCAAGTCAAGTCAATCTTGATCTGTGGAGACATGTCCAGACCCAGCTCAGTTGCCGGTCGACTGAGCTGGCTGGCTGAGCGTTCGGGGGTCGCACGGCCGACCGACCGGTACCTCCAGTTCCCACTGGGATCGGTACCGGATGTCGGCGCTTACAGCGGTGGAGCTGGCGGTAACCGGAGACGACCGTAGGTGCCGTGTCGGGTCGGGTCGGACCGACTCTGACTCAGGGATGGGACTCTAACCGGGCCGGGGTCAGTGCCTGATGACCTGTGTGCTGTCGGGACAAGGACTCGTGTATCTATCGAGGTTATTGCTGGACCGTCTGTGAGCATTGGATGACCCCAGCAGCCTTCAGCATCAACGTGTGTATGTCGGTCATCGGTGTGTCTGTCCGTACTTACCGCCGTCTAAGGTGCCACTGCCGCCTGCCGCCGTGACTCTGATCGTACCATGGATGCCATGGATACTGGTGGTCGGTCTACGAACAGCCTCCAGCGGCCTTCAACGGGTGTCGATGTAACCTCCCATTCAGACGGCGCCACTGAGCCGGTCGAATACTACTCGAACTTGGTGGATCAGACCAGGGTATATTGAGTGAAGATCAGACGTTGCGGGGGCGGACTGATAGTCATATCTTAAGCACAGGATCCTTAGTGCAGAATTCAACCTCATGCTGGTGACACCTGTTTATTTGGATGCAGTATCCGAGACACAGGACATAACCCCTATACATCTCTTTGCCACCCAAAGCTTGAAACCCAAACAGAAAATAGCTTCTCTGTGTGGGGTCGGACATTAGGTAAACGTGGAATTTGGCATTCGCACGCCTAGCATCTATTTCCTCAGATATTTGTATGACTGACTGAGACATGCAAAACAGAAAATATCACGCAAACGGCTATTTGAAGGTTTTACATATACGGTACGGCAAAGTTGCCGAACAGACAGCGACAAATGTGGCCTAGTGCCGGCTTCATTAGCTTGTGACTAGCGATGGAAAAATGTTTTAATCTTTGGGAAAATAAAGTCAGAACTCAAACAAAAATCAAATTACCATTCGGCTTTCTTTTTTAAGTGAGTTTTAACCAGTTAATGCTCAAAGTTTTGCCGCACTTTGATGATTGGCATGAAACCAGTTGGTATCCATTGTTCAGTCGTCGCATCCCATGGCAATTCTGCTTTCTGAAACGCTGATTTCATCTTACAGAAACATGAGACTTGACATATAACGCAATATGTTTAGCTTTAACAAGAATAATGTTTAATGCAATAGCTTAATTACGGAGCGAGCGAAGCGAGCGGAGTCTCATACTGAATTAAGGGAAAATCCTGAGTATGAGCGGCCGGCCGGCCGGCCGGCCGTGGGGACGCTCTTCAAAAGCTAATATCTTAGGAACGGGACATCCGATTGACAAGCGGTCTTCTTTACTGAATGTCACTTGGACGTAAAAGTTCTGTGGTGTGATGGCCACCATGCGTTCTTGCCAACCACCGCACGTGGCGCGTGGTAAAGTTGGACATTTTTTAAGAATCCTCAAAATTGCAACCTCAATAACGGCACAACGGTTGGGCCGATTGAATTGAAACTCGGTACACAGTTAGGTCTCCATCAGATAATTCATCTGCATGTGTTAAGGTTGGGGTGCTACAGCACGTGCGCACGTGCAGGGGGCGCTCCCAGATCTCGAGAACGGCTGGGCCGATTGCGCTCAAATTTGGTACACGGTTGGGGACCAGTTAGTAGGGTGCCGTGCAAAAGTCAGTTTGGACCCCGCTTGCACGTGCGCACGTGCAGTGTGCCGCTTCCAGATCTCGAGAACGGCTAGGCCGATTGCGCTGAAATTTGGCACATCGCTAAAGACCGGTTAGTAGGGTGCAGTGCAAAAGTTAGTTGGAGGTACCCCCTCGCAATTTCGCACGTGCAAGGCCCATCCTCTCGCTCGCTCCGTTTGTCGCCCAAAAGGCGTTTTACTGGTGTTATTACGGAGCGAGCGAAGCGAGCGGAGTCTTTCCTTAGATTAACCCTCGCCCGTATTGGTGTTTTTCCAGCCGCGAACGTATAAGGGGGGGGGGGGGGTCCGTTGGACCCCCCCTTGCCGTTTCGCCCCTGATCGAGCTAGAGCTTCGCGGAAAAAACGAGCGTGTTGCCCGTGACGAGAGGAAGCCGATGATACCTAATTTTAAGGTCCTAGGTCATTGGTTGACCTTGCAGGTCAGGTCAATGACCCAAAAGTCGGGAAAATCGAAACCTGTTAGAACGTCGTAAAGTGTGGCTGCTATGGGGTTTTTCGGGGCGCTGATCACGAATATCATGTTAGTTTTGATCACAGATGATGTCTTTATGCATTTAGTCCAGGTCGGGTAAGGTCAGGTCAGGTCAACCAGTAGGGGTCCTGCCGGGTATTCCTAGTAGGTGTCAACCGCCTCTGACAGCTTCGTAACATGTTACGAAGGCACCAAAACTGCTTCGTAAATGTTCACATGGTTGCTAAATTCGAATTCAGCTCCAAAAACTGGCCTAGAAACATGTAAAACTCGAAAAAGTGAACCGAGGTCACCAAAGGTCAATGACCTGACCTGACCTTCAGGTGACCTTGACATCCACCCTAATGCATGGGGCAACATCAAATCACATGTTTGAGCGCTTTAAACCACGAAAAGACTGCAAACGCGCGGCTAATGTGAGCCGACATACGCCGAATCGCGATTCCGGCCAAACATGGTCTCGAAAAGTAGGTCACAGGTCAAAGGTCATTGGGGTCAGGGTCATGAAATTTTCAGGGTAGGTGTAAAATTGATTAACGCGAGGGTACTGAAAGTTTCGTCGCGATCGGCCGCTTTTTACGCGAGTTATTCGCGAAAAACCATGGGGGGGTCCGTTCGACCCCCCCCCCCCCCTATACGGGCGAGGGTTAACGGAAATTTCTGAGTATGAGCGGCCGGCCGTGGTCACGGTTTTGCGACGCTTATATCTCAGCAACCACTTGACCGATTTACACGCGGTAATTTTTGTAGGGTAGCTTCATTCCTTCTACCAAGTATTGGACTATTCCCGATGCATGTAGATGACCCCTTATGCACGTGCCACGTGCAAAACGAAGAGGTGTCACTTTTGTAATTGTTGCAATATCTCGGTAACTACTTGGCCGATTGCGCTGAAAGTTGGCATGTAGGTAGGCACCCACTAGGCAATGCATATCCATGTGCCAGAGTTGGGGTGCTGCTGCACGTGCGCACGTGCAGGGGTCGATTCCAGATCTCGAGAACGGCTGGACCGATTGCGCTCAAATTTGGTACACGGTTACGGAGCAGTTAGTAGGGTGCCGTGCACAAGTCAGTTGGGACCCATTTTGCACGTGCGCACGTGCAGGGTGCCGCTTCCAGATCTCGAGAACGGCTGGGCCGATTGTGCTCAAATTCGGCACATCTCTAGAGACCGGTTAGTAGGGTGCCGTGCACAAGTCAGTTGGAGGTATCCCCTCGCAATTTCGCACGTGCAAGGCCCACCCTCTCGCTCGCTCCGTTAGTCGCCCCATAAGGCGCTATACTGGTTCACTTCATTTTTCAGACTTTCCGATTGTTCTAAACGCTTGTATTAAATCTGCTGTCCACAAATTGACTTTGAAATTAAAAAAGTTAAGGAATTTGGCTCATTTATAAATGAGTTATCACATGGTCATGATAAAACAACAATAATATGTGACCAAGAGTAGAAACGTGTTACCTATAATAGCACGACGATAAAGCGGTAGCTTCCGTATGGTCTTGCACATTGCAGTTATTACAGGTATTCAGACGATAATGATATTGCGATATCATTAACTATTGCCTACAATGAAAGTTAACCCACAGCCAGTCTGGCACACCGGATGCAGTCTGCACGCACGACAGAGCGAGCTGCGACCGTCCAAGTGCTCGCCACACGCTGGAAGCACGCGATGTGTACGCAGTGCACAGTGCACGCTGTCGGTTTCCTATTGCTACGTAGGCACTCGGGTGGTCCTCGGTGTCAATGAAGCCGTAGAAATACCGGTACGGTCCACTTTCCCACCAGCAGCCGCAATCGCATATATTGAGCCACGATCAGGAAAATATGCCTTACAGAAAGCCATTAATCAAGATATCGCTTAACAAAAGACAATTTAATTGCCGCAACCGGACGGTGCGCTCGTTACGCACGGGTAGCACGCGAGCGGTGACCGTCGCCGGCGCGGCGGCCGGACACGCCGGCGACGATAGGCCATTGCAGGACATTCTTCCGACGTCACATGCCTTGTTGAACACTGATACACGCTCTGTTCAGAAGATAACTCTTGCAAGAAACGAGTCCTACAGCGCAGGACCGCTAATGCCTGTGGTTAAAGGAGAGAGAAACTGAAGTGATTTATCCGTTTAACAGGCTGTTAATCGTTAATGTAGATAAAACTTAGCATAGTTACTCAGAGCAACGAAGATTGGACATAATCGCAAAATTACTGACTCAGTACAATTCGTATTTGCATTTGTACACAAATACGAATGCACAAATTCACAAATACAAATTTCTATGAGTTGCGGCAATCAAACAAGCCTAGACTCAAACATTCTTGCGTGAAGTATCAATCTTCACTTACGGTTGGCTTCGAGTTTCGACAGAAGTTAACACGGGATGAGACGAATGCTCAGCTGTTAAGTGGAGCTATCAAATGTCATTTAATCTCTTCGTGGCTGCCTCCTGTCATTAACCCAATTATGCATGTGCTAATGATCCCATCAAATTACCTCAAATCTAAATAGAATTAGCTGGGCGCCAGGTTACCGCCCCCTGCTGACGGCTGCCGGCTCCGATTGGTCGACCGATTGCCGGCCGGCCGGTGATTGGCTGTCGCTGTGCGCGGGGCGGGGCCAGCGGGGCGCCGCGCGGGCGTCCCCTGTCGGCGCCGGCGACCAGTCAGACCGAGCCAGTGCGGAGCGTCGCGCGCGCCGCCGTCACCACCGCCGCGACCGTGCCGCCGCCGCCCGCCCGCCCGACGGGCATGACTGTGGAAACTGTGGAGCCGGCAGACATGACCGTGGAGATCAAACGCGCCGAGGAGGGCGGCCGAGCCGGCGGCCAGCGGCCGGCCGGCGCCGCCTCGCCGCCGCGACCCGGCGGCTTCATGATTACGGACATCCTGAGCTTGACGCGGCGCGACGAGCAGCCCGAACGGCGGCCCCGGCTGGCGGCCGGGCCGCCCGCCGAGCCGCCCGGCCCGCCCGAGTCGCCCACCGACCTCACCGTCCGAACGGGGCCCGACGCCGAGACGGCCGACGACAGCGACGGCGACTGCGACGGCACCGACGAGGGCGACCGACTGAAGCCGCCGACAGCGACAGGTCAGCTGGGGACAGGCTCAGACCGGGCGGGGTGGCTCAGACCGGGCGGGGTGGCTCAGACCGGGCGGGGTGGCTCAGACCGGGCGGGGTGGCTCAGACCGGGCGGGGAGCCTCAGTCGGATGGGGTGCCTCAGACAGTGCTTGTTTACTGTTCGCCTTTTATGTCAAGTTTCAATGTCACGAAATAGCTCGTTAAACCCCTCAAAGGATGTTGTAAATAAATTGTAATTAATCTTGACAACTTGCATGTGCCATGGTACTGCGTTCTGGACGCTTTAGATATTGCCTCCAAGTCCACCCCTTCCCCGCACTCATTTAGCCGTTGTTCAATGTTCAGTGTGCTACGATGAGGCAAAATGTGTTTTCATCTAAGATCCGAAGCATGTTCATATGCTACTGAACTGCTTACAGCATGTCTGATTGATCCTGGACTCCCACCTGCTCGTTCCTTTTGCCAGTGTATCACATCCACCATCACACCGTTCCCATCGCTATTGCTACACGGGGCCGCCAGAGTCGGAGTCCAATGCTTCTTCGTTTATTGGGCGCTGTGTATTTAGGTACTGTTTGAGCCCATACGTCCACTGCTTGGCCTCATCGGGCGATGTGCGTCCACTGCTTGGACCATGGGATGCGCTCACTGCTTGGCCCATCGGGAGCTTTGCGTCCATCGCTTGAGCCCATCGGGCGCTGTGCGTCCACTGTTTTGGGTCCACCGAACACTGGGCGTCCACTAAATAGGCCCAACTGGCATCAGGCTTCACTGTTTGGGTACCTGATCTACTGGTGCCAGGACGCCCACTGCTTGACCCCATCGGACACTGGGCGTCCACCGCTTGTCCGAAACTTCGTGTCTAATGGGCGGGTCTGTCGCTCACTATGTGACCACCATGTGGGTTCGCCTGGCACCAGCCTTGCTGTGCTGGATCGTATCACTGAACCAAAGCACCTGGTGTCCCTTGGCGGGTGACCGTTGACGAGTGGCGGGGTGTGAGGAGCGTTTATGGGCGTCCGTCCGGCTCCGATACGTCAGTCCCGTCACATACCCACCGGTCCTGGCGGCCGCGTCCGACGCCCATTTGGATTGCAAAGTGGGATAACCGGGCGGCCGGCGCTCGGCTGGGTGGTCCGCGCGGACGGCGGAGCGGTGGAGCGGGCGGGCGGCGTCGCAGTGGTGTTTGGGACGGACCACATTGCAGACTCTTGATTTGTCTGCAGGATGACGGCAACATACGACGCTCATTAGGACATTAGGTTGCCTACTTGTTATAATATGGAGCATCAATGACTTTTACACCTGACTTCTGGTCGTCTATACTCGTATGCTTTCGTTGATGCAGCGTTGCTGCATTGCCACTGTGAACCTATCGTGATCCCCCTCCAGCCCGGGTCGTAACAGCGGCCCCGCTCTCCCCCCCCCCCCCCCGGGGTCGTCCGGTGCGTCAGCCATGTGGGCCGCCCGTCGCCAACTGTGTTTACCCCGGCTAATGTGTCCGTCCATTTAGCCATTTCCGCAAATTGCCCCCGCACTGTGCAACGACTGCGAAATTGCAGTTAACGACCCGGGGCCCTCTCCGAGTGGCGGGCGACATGCCAGCCGTAGTCAGACTGGGGTGGAGGGGGGGGGGAGCGGTCATGGGCTCATGAAACGGTGCAACTCAAGGCGCTTGAGGACTGTGCTGGCGATACGAAATATGCTCCATCCTGGGGCTGCTTTGGTGGTGCGACACATTTTATTTTAAGGCTTATTAGAGTTCAGTTAGCGACCCAGCACAGTACACACGAGTAAGACAGACCAGCCGGATGTTGGAAGCTCTGTGTACTCTAGAATATTGTGGAAAGGCATGTGTAATGGCTTACCATCCTCTCTTGCATCGCAGTTATCTATGTTTCACCGTATCAATTGAACCAGGGTATAGGTAGAAAGCTTCCGTCACAGTCATGCAGTAGCTGCATTTGAGAGCTGAACCTGAGCGAAAAAAGCCGCGGCTGGTGCACCCGGCGCTGTTCACAGTTGACTCAGCCAGGTCGACTGCGTTTAACTTCCGTTACGCTAATCGTACCCTAACCATGCCCTAACCTGCCGCACGACAAGCCAGCCGGAGTTGCCGGCGCCCTCGGTCCCCGGTCAGGCACGGTCGTTTCTTTCATTTCCGGCGAGCGGCTAATTTCCTGCAGAGGTGACTGGGGCAGTGCGTCCCACTCCCCCGCACCCCTGGATGCCCGGCCATCCCCATCAGGCACCCGCGCCGCCAATCGCGTGAGAAATTTGTCATTGCTATGGCAGCACGGCAGCCGGCAGCGAGGCACCGGTGCTCACACAACTGGCACGTGCCGGTAAGAGCGCGCCGGCGAAAGAGCAGCGTCGGCCGGCGGCGACGCGCCGCTCGAGCACGCGGCCGGCGCTGTTTGCGTCCCGCCGACGAGAGGGGACGCATGTCCGGCCTTTGTGGAAATAATTGCCGCACCTCGCGGGCGCGCGGCGAAAATCGGCGACACGTGCCCGCATGGTAATGTGCGCCCCGGCGCCCACCGTAATTAATGGACAATGTAAAATCGGCGACGTGTGCGCAACAATGAATAACAGGGGCGGAGCGAGAGGAGCCCAGTGGCCACGCGGCCCAATCGATAAATCAATGCGCTCCGCAGGGGGCACCACTTGCCAGCCGGGCGCCAATCGGTCTCAGCTGCTGCCCCTTTGCCTCCGCAAATCGGTAAATGCGCTGGTCCTTTGATCAAAGTTTCCGGCTATTAAAGGATTGTCAGTGGTCCGGAACTGGGGGTCCCGGCTAGGAGGGAGGGGGAGGGGTCTGTGTTTGAGCGCAGGCGGCTCTGAGCGCCGGTCAGTGACACCTCATTAGCGAGGCTAGAGTCACCTGTCCCTTTCTTCGGTGCCGCTCGGCTGCTCGGGTCAGCATTGGTAAACTGCCCGCCTGTCACCACCGCTGACCGCCCGGTACCCGCGGTCGGGACCGGCAGGTGGCAGCGGGTTCAGGGGCCTGTGGTCGTGTCGGGGGTGGGGGAAGGGCGGCTGACGTCCGGTCTCGGCCTAATCATGACAAAAAGCGATACGTGGTGGTGCTTAATGCCTGCAAAGTAATCGCGAAAACGGAACGCCAGGAAAAAAGCGCAAACCAAACGCTCGAACCAGCGGGGGATTTCGGCGCTCTTTCGTGTGCCCTGCACACTGCGCACTTCATACACTCTTCTGCCGGCCCCGTTTTATCGATATTCCCGGCTCACCGGCTTTCCTGCAGTTCACGTTTCGCCACACAAATGAAAAGTATCTTTCGATGTTTGTTTTTAAGCATTATCGTCGGCCATTTTGCACTCGGACACTAATGGTGGTGGAAAAGATACGCCAAGACCAGTTTTGCAGTTGGCAAACACTCTGCATGTCGCGCCCCTCACTTTTTACCTTCTGCAGTCGGAGCCAAGAGGGACTGGTTTTGGAGGAGAATGCGACAGAGCTTGAGGCAGACCGGCCACCGCATCCTCTTCATTGCAGCAGTTAGCTTTTAATTCGATATTTATAGCCTCTAGTCTAAAAGTAAAGACTCAAACAATTGACAGATGTTTCGCAAAGTGACGCCACATTTATCAAAAGAATGTGTGAAATTACTTCAGAGACGAAAGGACCGTTGCGCATTACTTAAGGTAAACGCAGCGGCCAAATATAACACTCGGTTTCTCTAATCGACAGTATGAGACATGACATTTGTGAGACTAGACAGCCACAGCACGCATAGCAGTCACCCTGCGGTATGGACGCTACAACAGCTAGCCTTTGGGGAGGGCGCACCGGACTGAACAACTTACTGACACGACACACCGTCCTGAGCGTTACGGCACATACGAAAATCCTGACGACTGAATTCCGCTGCACGCTGCTGGTATGGCTCAGCTGGTGACATTTTTATCATCAAAAACAAGTTGGCTAATCTGGCTCTCTGTTTGGTTTGATTGAGTGCTTAAAATGCCAGGAAACGTGTTCCATTAACCGCATATTACAAGCGTCAGCATGCTGCTGCACAGTGGTGCTGGTGACTGCACGGCCCACGCAGTCCGGGCGGCGCGGCGGCAGCCCCGGTGGGCGCAGCGCAGCCCGGCCGGCCGGCCGACACCTGCCACCGCGCCGGCGCCGCCCGACCACGGGCAGGAGCTCAATTTGTCGCGTTGCCGCTCGTGAAATTGTTCCGGCGTGTCGCTGTCGGCCGGATGTGCCGTGCGGTCGCTCCGCCCTGCCCTTGTTTTACGGACGGCTGGACGCGCGCCGGCCGCCGCCGCCGCCGCCGCCCGCCGTTCGCCGGGCCGCCTCTCGCCGCCGCGGCCGGCCGCCTCCCGCTGCCTCTGGCCGGCGTATTTAACACCTCCGAGGTGGCTGGGCGGCTGATCAAAGTAGCCGCCGAGTAATTGGTGGGCCGAGCCGGCGGCGGCGGGCCGCTCACATGCGCCGACCGGCCACCAGTAGCATATTAACGACCAGATATTTTATATATCGCTTATGACTGGTCTCTCCCCCTAATTAGTCCTATTTAGGAGGGCAGACGGGCGCGTCCGGCGCATTAGGTGCAGTGGCGAGTGGCGCTCAATTACTGCCGAGCTGCCGCAGCGGGCCGGCCGCTCTGCACGGCTGCATAGAGGCAAATTAGTTGTAATTAGAAGGCATGTACTTTGAATATCAAATGGAAATGAAAATTATAGCCTGGACGAATGGCTAACGGGTTAGCGGCTCACTGGTAATCTCAAAGAGCGAAGGGATAGGTGCAAGCGTGTAACTGGCGGCGTGCTTTGGTCATCAGCAGCATCCCAGCTCGTGGATGCTGCCATCTCCGCAGTGCTGGCAGCGCTGCCGACTCGGCCGCTCGTGTCGTCTCAGAGGCGGCTGAGACGGCGGAGGCGGGGGCGGCCGCTCGTGACGGCCGGCTGCCGCCGCGCGCGGCCACCTAATGCGGTGGCTCGCCGCGCCGCTCGCGCCGCGCCGCTGCAACCGCACCCGATTATCGGCCGACGCGCAAATGGCACAATAAATCAGACCGGCGACGGCGCGCGGCCGACCGACCGCGCCGGCATACGGAGCCAGGCGACATACGGTATACCGCACACGGCGTACGGAGCCAGGCGACAGACGGTATACTGCGGACAGCATACGGAGCAAGGCGACATACGGCATACCGCGGACGGCGTACCGACCGCGCCGGCATACGAAGCCAGGCAACATACGGCACTGCAGACGGCGTACGGAGCGTGCCGGCATACGAAACGGGCCGACATACGGAGCGAGGCGACTCAGGTGGGATAACCTCTGAGTCAAACATATCATAGTTGCAAGTATTAATTTGAGGGGGATACGTTGGTAAATGGGGCAAGCTGCCATCCAAAACTGCTGGCGGGCTGTCCCGCGGTCAGAGCCAAACCGAACTCGAAGGGAACAATCCTGAAAGCAACAGAGAGCTGAAGCGTATAAAAAGCTTCAGACTGACTGAGCGGACAAAAGACAGCAAGCAACGGACGATAAACGATCTAGAAGGCTTCATACAGTTATGAATTAGTTATGAATTTGAATGTAAATTACACAATTTCACAAAGCTCTACAATTTACATAGGCTCATATCGGCTTATGCCGCCACCTTATATCAGCCTGTATTTACTTATGATATTTCTACTAGCGCCCTTCCCCAAGCGATAAAATTATTCCCGCCGACATGGAGCTCAGTTTGCCGACATGAGACCTCCCGGCCGCGAGTACAACGATAATCATCCTAACAGAGAGTAATTGACATTGTCATCCCGGGTCGTCAAGGAACCACAGAAAATGGCTTAACCGGAGACCGGTTGTCTGTGTTGACGTCCAAACCGCAGCCGTCCACTGTCCAGGACACTGTGGTAGCAGTATCCATCGGCGTTCCAGCGAACGGCTAGAAGTAGAGACCACCGACACCGTCACTCTGACGGGCTCCCCATCGGGCGCCCAGCCGGCGCCCACCCCCAGTCACCGGCGCCCTGACGAGCGCCCCAACGAGCGCCCTACCGGCGCCCTGAAGAACGACGCCCCGCCCCAAGCCACCGGCGTCGAACTGTTGGGGGCGGGAGATGACATCACATCGACGAGAGCTGACAAAACAACGACGGGAAACGGTGTTCTTAGCTTTTGATCGACCACAAGTCGCATCCAAAATTAGCGGACTTTGGGTTTCGTGCACTGCAAAACAGAAGATTGATGCAACAGTGTGTATAAAGAAACAAAGAAAAACCACTAGGCCGCAAACCAATGCTCATGTCATAAAATATTATGCCCACTGCTCATCTTTTATCAGCTATTTAAGGAGCATTGTGCAGTGTGGAAAGATGTGGATTACTATTTCATACTTCAATTACATCATAAACATTTTAAAGTGTGTATCCGGTTTGAGTGCCGACAAAGGCATCGACTCATTTCGTGGTTGATAGAAACGCGGACGATGAGAAAGGTCTGATATGAACTGTTGTTCACTAGCCACAGCTAAATAAGACCATCGGTGAGTAGTCAGCCTTGAGGTCTAGGAGCGTGAGGAAAGGTCGCCAGGCTAAGGCTCCCTCATGAGCTTTGATATGGGCACTTACAGTTGATCAAGTTCAATATGTTTGCAAAACCAGCGGTGGACTATTGTGCCGAGTTGGGGTAGCACGAGTCTTCCCAATTCCACGCCGGCTGCGCCGGCTTGGCTTTGGAGCCGCACCAGACGGTGGAGGTCAAGGTCACCGCCAGGGCGGCGGCGGATTGGCTGCGCCCGTGCAACCCCAACTCAGCATATTTCTCCACCCCTGTTCAAAACGTTGTTTGCTTTTTTTGTTGATTTGCCACTTCCCTCCGCAGTAGCATGATTTGTCTTTACTTACGGATATATGCAGTAGCACCAACCTGACATCCAATGACTTGAGCAGCACTTGGAAGTCTTGAACTAAAAGTTTTCGTCAAGAACTGTTCAAGCAGTTTCAAGACGGCATTTCCCGACTCAATTATCCCAATCGGGCCGCCGTCAATCTTCGGATGGTGTTAGTGTTATGTTCTACGCGCGGCCGGCGCAGTCTCCAAGCACTGCGGCACAGCCCACCTCCCAGTAGAGGAGACTGCAACGCTCAACGCCACAGCATCCAGCGCCGGCCGGGCTGGATGCGCTTCTCACACCGCGCTTCTCACACCACGCTTCTCACACCGCGCTTCTCACACTCCAGGTGTTCTTCTGACTGTGATCTGAGCCCTCCGGATAAGTCTCCGGGTCCGTCCGGTTGGGAATTTGTTCATTTCTCTGGTTTCTTTTTGCTCGCGCAGTGCTTTGGCCACCCGACTACCGACCGTAACTCGGTACTCGAGGTCCTCTCTTCTATACCTGACTATTCACGGCACTCGCTCTCCGGTCTCCGCTCTTAGAACTGGATGATCGCGGTACCCGCACTCTGGTCGCGGCCTGGAGGTGGATGGTCGCGGCACTGAAGGCCGCCGCCAGCAGCCGCCGGGCCCGGCTATATTGGGGTCGTGACACCGCCATTCGACACACACGGACCTATTGTCGCCGTTTACCAATTAATAGAGAAGATTGGACAGTGGAGAGTGATGGCGTTGTGTCGGTCGGCTGGCCGGGCAGAGAGGCGGTGTCGGCGGTACCTCTGCCGCCGCCGCCGCCGTACCGCCGGCCGTAGCCCGGGGCCGCGCCGCCCGGCTCGCAGGGCCGCCGCCGCCGCCGCCGTAAAGGCCGATTTATGCACACGGCTAATTCCGACAACAACATTTCCACCTTTTAACTGTATCATTATGCAAAATTAATGCGGAGCGGCATTGCCAAGTGCAACTGGACACGACACTAGCGAATGCGATACAAATTAGGATTTAGTGCCAGCCGAGCCGATGGCGGCATGGTTTAATTATAGGGCCGGGCAATCGGTGGCGCGATTAGCGGCGCGGCGGCGGCAGTGGCGGCGCGGCGGTCGTCGGTCGGCTGTCCAGCCATCGCGCCGCTGCCGCTCCGGACACCTGAATAATTTACCGGCCTCGTATCAAAACTTTGTTTAAGCGTGAACGGCGCGGGCGCGCTCCACCTGTCTGCGTCCAATTCGAGGGCGGTGGCCGGGCGCGACTTTGGCAGCGCCAATCGCAAATGTCCGAGCCGAGCCGGTGCTCTGTCGGCCAGGGGGCAATTTTCCGCGTCACGCCAGGCCGTCACCACGTTTCAACTAATGGAGCCCGTTACAGAGGCGCCTTTGTCCGGCAGCGCCATGATTGAGTTAATGCAAACACACGGCTTGTGTGGCGCGATCACCTAATGGATTATCATTGGCCCCGGCCGGCGGCACAATGCCGGCCCTTTGAGCAGAGTCGGCTGCGTGCGGCGCTCGCTCAGGCCGCCGCAGTGCCGTAATGGGTGTGTGCCGCGGGGGCAGTGTCCCCTGCAGTGGCCGTGTGGCCGGTGTCACCTGCCCTGACCGTGTGTAGGCCGCGGGGGCGGTGTGTGTGATGTACCGTCCCCGCGCCGGCCGGCCAGGTGACGGCCCAGGGCCGCCGGTGGGAACGCCGGCCGGCGCGGCGCGGCGCCCCACCACCGGCCCAGAAACGGCCCCCCGCCGGCCGGTAAGCGACACCGCCGGAACGTGCGCTGATGACCTGTAATTATGGTATTTTCAGCGAATTAACTTATGCTTTAGTTAGGCATCTGGCGGCCTGATGGATGGCGCCGACACCGTTCCCGACCGAGAGTGGCCGCCGGGCCTGTATTTGTAAAACAAAGGCCCAAAAGACGAATGATATCCGGCGAGCGGCTGTTTTTTGGTCCTGAGCACCAGAGCGTGTCGGCAGGGCCGTTTCGCTACGATGGAATCAAAAGCACGTGTCTATCATTGCCTCTGTTGTCCCAGAGATGGGGCAGACAATCTGAGCTCACTGGTAATGTCTTCACCGACATGCTCACAACCAGCTAACGACAGTGTTTGATCTTTCACAGACAAAGACGGTTTATCGCCGACGTCACAAGGCCAAAACGGATGCACGCTCAAGTCGAAGAAGTCGCGGAAGGCGAGGACGGCATTCTCCGACCATCAGCTGCAGACATTGGAGAGGAACTTTGAGCGGCAAAAGTACCTGAGTGTCCAGGACAGGATGGAGATGGCTGCCAGTCTGAACCTGACCGACACACAGGTCAAAACCTGGTATCAGAACAGGAGGTGAGTGCAGCCATGGGCATTGATGCCGTTTATTCATCAACCAGTCAGAGAAATTGTTTTGCGAGTCGCCATTTCTTTATCATACAGATAACTATTAGCTAATAATTCGCTGTTTCAAAATAAATGAATAAAAAACCGACAGACTGGCGGAATACCTACATTTTATCAAATTGGCTACGCTGTATGATGTGATCGGTGTGCTGTTGTGACTGTTGTGCTCGAATGGATGGATGGGTGGCGGCACCATGCTTTTCTGTTGGTTCAATGTTACCCCCGTGACATTGTTTAAAGTAGAAATCGCTGTAGGTCACTAGTTCCTAATCGGCGTGGTTCCCGGCACCGCCAGCTTGGCACCACAGTAGGGAGCAGCCAAGACCCGGTCGTTCAGCCGCTTCCACCCACTGGTAGTTTTCTACAGACCGAAACTTTTAAACGTTCCGTCCTCGAAATGATTAATAACCCTTTCCGAAACTCCCTAACACGTTCAACTTCGCCTGGCGACACGAGTTACACATTTACTGAGTGTACGCGGCCGCATTCAATGTGGAGCGGTAATCAGTGCCTGGACGATATCGGAGCGGAAAGGGTGGCCGCGCTGGAAAGCAGCGCCCACCGGCGCCGTGTAATGACTCTGTCCAGCGGCGGCTCCTAATGACGGCCCGAGTGGCGGCCCTATTCATCACGGTCCGACGGCGGCGGCGGCGGGCCGGTCGCGCGCCGCCCGACGGGAACCGACTCAGCCGGCCGGACAATTGGTTGACGAAGGATGCGGCTTCCTTAATTCAGCCAGTGTGGCCTCGCCTGGAGTTCTGTCAGCCTTGAGCTGGCTCGAGTGAGCGCCAGTGAAGTGCGCCAAATCTGTTTCTGACGCCTGGTGGTACTGAACATATGTCGGCACCTACAGCGCTGGTGCGAAGAACTCTGGCACAAAGGAACACCTGGTCCGTGATACCTATACATCATGAACGGCATGTCGTACATGCTACTCGATTTACGCAACAAAGCCCACTATTTCCTGTGCGTGCTTCGTATGCACCAGGTAAAGATTCTGCCACCACGGCAAGGCCACTGGCATGGCAACAACACAGCTAAGGCACAGCTACGTGATCTCATGGCGCAAAGTTTCATGGGGCTGACATTCAGCAATGAATTTCCTTGCCTCTAACCCTATTAGTGGCAGGCTCCTGGCTACCCCTATTATAGGTGGCAGGGGGGCTGTTTAGGACCCCCCTTGATATCTCGAGATCTAACGGGCCGATTTTCAAAATTCAAACGGCATTCGATTTCGCTCAACGTGATCTACATTTCTAAAAAATAAAAATTAAAAAATGTCAATAGGGGGGGGGGGTAGAGGGGGTAAAAACGGGCAAATTGCAGATACATTTTAGACTGTTTATCACGGCCAGGTTTCTGAACCAATCTTAACGCAACTTTTGCCGATCGATAGAGAATGAACCAGGAATTCACATGGATCCTAAAAATATGCATTTTTAAAAATCATAGGCGGATACAGATAATTGAGATTGGGGGTACACAAAAAGTATAGTAAATAAGGTTTTTGTTGGTACTGTTTCTAAAAAGGGTGGTAATGGTCTTGTTATGTTACAATTTTCTTATGAGAGAACGACTACAATTGTATTGGTCATGCATAGGCGGTGTCAGGGCACCTATGTTGGGAGGTAAAACATAACCCCCCTTTTTGGACGCCTGGATCCGCCTATTATAGCAAAAACGTGTCAAAAGAGGATGCACAATAACTGTATATGTTATCACATGATACCTTTCATTCACTGTTCGTAAAACTGGTGCAGCATCGTGATCTTCGCCCAAATGACTCGCTTCACGAAAAGGACCCCCCAATTCCCAGTGCTCTGGAGCCGCCCCTGGTAAAGTTATGAACTTGAAATTTTCAGGGAATGTGCCCAATTTAGTTTTAGGAAAAGTCAGAAAATGTCAGCATCGTAGCTTCAGCGGTTTCGGAGATATTCCCGAAAAACCTGAGGGGTGGATAAAAGCAACCCCCGCCCTGTCACTAATAGGGTTAAGGCGGGTTACAGTCCTTTGTTCCTCAACATGAGCCAACAGAATAACTCTGTCTCCCGGTCTTGCCTCAGCCCTTGACCGTGTCTTGCTGTCTCGGCTGTCTTTCACTGTCTGTATTACTCAGCTGTGTTTGGGTGTTTCGCTGCTGTAATTTCTCGGTGGTGTCTCATGCCGCGGCGTTCAGTGTTGTCGCTCCAAATTGCCCTCCGCTGCCGTCTAACAGACCTCCGTGGCCGAGCGGCGGCGGCGCGGCGGCCACCTTCCGTGCCGGCCGGCCCGCGCGGCCCGCTGCACTAACGCTCATGTGACGATTTAAATTGCAAGCGGATGTAATATGTAAAGTTTATCAGGCCTCGCCACCACTTATCATGATTTATATGCTGTGGCAATTACATAAATCTTTCAATAATAACTGGCTGCAACCGCGGGGTTTAAACGTTATTGCGCCGCGGCTGCACTCGCTCAGCTAATCGGGCTCGGCCGAGGAGGTGGCGGCGCCGGCACGACGCGCTCCCACGGACCGCCTGACGTATGTTTGCTGACGTGCGGAACACCGCCTGATGTATGCCTGGTGACGTGCGGATTGACCTGACGTACATCTTGTGACGTGCAGGACACGGCCTGATGTATGCTTGATGACGTGCGGAACGCGACATAACGTTTGTGTGGGGATGTGCGGATTGACCTGCACTATGTCTGAGGACGTGCGGAACACCACTTTGAGCTTGTCTGATGACGTGCGGAACACCGTTTGGAGTTTGTCTGGTGACGTGCGGAGAATAGCCTGACGCTTGTCCGGTGACGTGCGAAACATGGCTTGGAGTTTGTCTGGTGACGTGACGTGCGGATTTGAGCCTCACGTTTGTTTGGCGACGTGCGGAGGAGGTCTGAAGCGTATGTCTGGTGGCGGGCGGAACACAGTCTGGAGTTTAGTGACGTACGATTGTGGGATGTTGGAAGTGTGCGATTAGCTCCCTGTCCGGTCGGCTCGAGTTCCCTAGTCTGTAGCGCCTGCAACCTCTCACCACCCGCTCTCCTCCGCCGGCAGGACCAAGTGGAAGCGTCAGACGGCCGTCGGCATGGAGCTGCTGGCCGAGGCCGGTAACGTGGCGGCCCTGCAGCGGATATACGGCGGCTCGGGCGTGCCGTGGCCGTACCCGGCCGTGCCCGGCCTGCCGGCGCACGGCGTGCCGGCCGTGCCGCCGCTCACCACGGCCGCCTACTACAGCCAGCTGGCCGCCATCCAGAAGCCGCTGGCGTACCGTGTGTTCCCGCCCGGTCTGGGTCTGGGCGCCGCTGCCGCCGCCGCCGCCGCCGCCGCCGCCGTCAGCACGCCGTCGTCGCTGGCGCCGCCGGCGGCGGCCCTCTCGGCCTCCGCCGCGCTGGCGTCCTACTACAGCCGGCCGCCGAGTACCAGTCGCGTGTGAGGCCGGCCCGCTCCCACCCGCTCAAAGGGCGCCGGCCGGGCGCCGCGCCGGGCGCGCCGTCCAGCCCGGCGTCACCAGACAGCGCCCCGCCCCAGACGCCGCCGCCGCTGCCGACCGACGCCAGCCTCTGGCTTCACGAGCAGCGCGGCTCGAGCAGCGACGTGATGCCGAGTGTACAAGTGTCCCATGTACGATATGTTGATATCAAGTTTATGGAGTGCGCCACCTGTGATTAGGGCCCTGCAGTGTCCCATTTTGTTTGACCAAAAGTGCGCGTTGTAAATTATTTAAATCCTGTATACAGAGCGCAGATTCCTTGTTGACGCTGTTCAGTGCGCGCGGCTGTGTGCGATGTGGCTTTCGTGTGCGTGATGTGTATGTGTGGGTGTTGTGTGTGTTAGTGTGGGTACGTGGGTGTGTGTGTCTGTGTGCGTGAAAGTGCGTTATGCAGATGCTATCTGCAGATACAATTGCAGTGATTCTTTGCAGATACGTTTTTATTCGTCAGTGTGGCCCTCGGTGGCGTGCACGAATAGTCAAATAAACCTGATACATTTGACCGTACGCGTGTGGAATGCAGTCCATCAACAGGGATAGGGAGCGATCTAGACTGGCCCTCACAATGACTTGAATTGAATGGTGGAGGCTCGAAGATAGGGACCATTGGTTGGTAAACCAGTAGTGCCACTCTTGCGGCACTCGTCAATACAACTGTTGGGGAGTTCATCGGCAGTTGAAAATAACACATCGACTTGAGACGATGGACATCGTTCCACAAGGAGGAGGAGCATTTAAGCACAAGATCGCTTCCAGCCATAGGCAGAGGCACCGACGCTCTCTTCCTCTGCTCCTTTTCAATAATACGGCCGGTTTTGTAGGACAGGCAGTTAGGTATCGGTATTCGATGGCATAGCTGCAGCAATCGAAGGTGCTTAGCCTGAAATCTCGCTGATTAATTTAACTATGGTAACAAGATATCGAAACCAGAACCTCAGGCGAAAGACGAAAAGCTTTTATTCGCTGTGAATCAAATAATTTCCAATTGCCAGTTGCCAGTTTCGCAAGTCATCCATGCTTCACTTTTCTTTTAGCTGTTCCTCACGGCGTCTTCTCTCGCGTAGCAGACCACCTAACATAATTGAAAATTGAGAGCCAAATAGCAATAAGGATTCAAAGTTTGGACTGAGCAAACTCGACACAGCGACCATAAATATACAAGCATTTTGCATTTTTTTATAAACAAATAAAACGAGATCCTTTATTGATAGTTAGTACATACGTAGTATTTCAGGCAAATAGGCCACATACATATATCATTGTAGTGGAATCTTGGGAGAGGGCGACGGCGCACGCAGTTCTTTAATCTTTATGCTACCCATGACAAGCAACACATTTGTCGCTCCGTTTAGTGAGTACCTACCTATTCACTAGTACTCACAGTAGACTAAGTTCCTAGGTAGCTGGAGCTGGATGGGATGCTAGGAGCTGTGCTGGATGCTGGTATGTACGTTACGTCTGGCTGTTTTGTGAGCTGGGCGCTGTTGTGGCTGGTTGTTTTATGTGCTACTGGCGCTCACTGGCGGATCCAGACTTGCGTTTTGGGGGGGGCCAACTCCTGCAAGTAACCAAACCTAGGGTACCCCCAAATCCTGTTTTCTCGTCGGATTTAGGCCACTTATTTTTTCGTCACAGCCCTGAAACGATATTTTTTTAAACTAAAAATAAAAAAAAAGAAATGGTAGCCCACCCAACCCGAGCCTAAATATTACTTTGAAAACACTTCAAATTGCTTTTGTCGACCAATTAGCCCGCTCCGGGTCGGTGCGTGGCGCAGCCTTCGCGGGCTGGGAGGTGTCGGTTGGACCCCCTGCCGTTCGGCCCCTGATTAAGCTAGAGCTCGCGGAAAAAAAAACAGGCGTGTTGCCCGTGAGTGACGAGACGAAGCCGATGATACCCGATTTTAAGGTCCTTGGTCATTGGTTGACCTTCCAGGGCGGTGTTTCACGGTCGTGCTGACAGCCGCTGACAGCGCATTCCGCGAGCTAAGGTCAACCTTCGGTAGTGTTGTGGGTATAGGCTTGTTGATGTCTCCATTGAAACCAAAAGTGCCATCAGCGCTGGCAGCGGCTGGCAGCGTGCCGTGAAACACCGCCCAGGTCAGGTCACAGACCCAAAAGACGGGAAAATCAGGACCTGTCAGAACCTCCTAAAGTAAGGCTGTAATACGTTTTTTTGTGCTGATCACAAATTTCATGTTAGTTTGGATAATAATAGCCGAAAATAATGTCTTCATGCGTTTAGACCATGTCGGGGCAGGTCAGGTCAGATCAACCAGTAGGGGTACTTATGGGCGTCCGTATAGCAGGTGTCCACTACCACTGGCAGCTACGTAACATGATACGAAGGCATCAAAACTACTTCGTAAATGTTCAAATGGCTGCAAAATGCTAAATTCAAAATCAGCTAAACTAAACTATCCTAGAAACATGTTAAACTCGGAAAAGTGCACCGAGGTCATCAAAGGTCAATGACCTGACTTGACCGTAAGGTGACATTGGCATCCGCCCTAATGCGTGGGAGCAACATCATATCACATGTTTGAGCGTTTTAAACCACGAAAAGACTATAAAAGCGCGGATAATGTGAGCCGACATACGCCGAATCGCTATTCCGGCCAAACATGGCCTCCAACATGACCAAACAGTCTCGAGAAATAGGCCACAAGTCAAAGTTCACTTGGGTCAGGGTCATGAAATTTTCAGACTTTGTCACCATGAGGGTACTAAAGTTTCGTCGCGATCGGCTTCATGATACCTTACACGATAACTTCACACGTCGATCGAGAGTTAAAGCATGGATGAAGGAGAACCAGGGGATGAATGTTCTTTCATCCATGGTTAAAGTGTGCAATAAGAACTTCTTGGGTGAAGACAAGACCAACACTTTTATCAAGCTCACAGATTTTTAATGATACGGTATTTTCTCTCTACCTACTACGCCCTTCTCACATTCATTTTTCTTAAGTGTTTTTGGGGACAAAAAATATATGTTGTTCCCCTTTCAGGCTTGGGGGCATGACCCCGTGGCCCCCCTGGATCCGCTAGGCCGAAACTAACTAGGTCGTTTTCAAACGGTCTGATATTTCAGGTCATAGTTTGCAAACGGCCGGTGTTTTCAGGTAGTTTCATATGGCCTGACTGGGCCAGGCCGTTTGCAAACGGACCGAATTTTCATACGGCCTGTAACATATATTCAGATTTCGACATCTGTCGTAGCATCAAATGCTGATGTGGCGCACTCAAAAGCCGAAATTGGTCCTTGGATGCCGTAAGGACCCTTTTAAGAAATAAGTGACCCGACTGACCCTTAGAGATTGGCCTGAGCTGTGACCGAAATAAGTCTTTTACCGTTTCGCAGGAAGGGACAAAAAGGTCCCTCATATGCTTCTTGTACAATTACGAAACAAAACAAGTTTTTTTTTTTCAACGAAAACTCAGTGAGTTTTCCTAAAAAATTTATTGCGCATATTCCGTGAATGAAAAGTTGCCGGGTCATGTCAGGTCAGGCTGCCACAGCAAGTTTGTTAACTTGACAGCTCAATCGATATTTATGCAATAAGACCTTCTCGGGTGACGATAAGACATGACGACACTTTATGAAGGAAGCTAGTAAACCCGGTAGTTTCTCCATAGGCGCGGGAACCGGGGGGAGGGGGCAGTGGTGGCAGCTTGCCCCCCCCCCCAACTCTGGGGCCGTGCGGGCGGTGCCCCCACAACTTTCAGACAGAATACCGCTCCTTTTTGCAAATGTTTTCTTTTTTTGTTGAAAAAAGCCAAGGGATGAAAAATAAGTGGCCTAAAACCGGCGAGAAAACTATATTTGGGGGATCCTAGGTTGATCTCTATCATGGTGTGACCTCCCCCCCCCCCGTCTAAAAGTAGTTCCCGCGCCCCTGGGTTTCTCTACGCTATTGAATCACGCTGCTGATTCTAGTAAGTATCTACTACACAACCTTCTCACATTAATTTTTCTTCGAGCGTTTTGGGGGGCCAAAAGATATGTTGGCCCCCTCTTTCAGGCTTTTTGGGCCCATGGCCCCGGTGGCCCCCTTGAATCCGCCAGTGGGGCGGTGCCCCCACAACTTTCAAACGGAATACCGTCCTTTTTTGCAACTGTTTCTTTTTTTGTTGAAAAAGCCAAGGGATGAAAAATAAGTGGCCTAAAACCGGTGAGAAAACTAGATTTTGAGGGGACCCTAGGTTGATCTCTATTATGGTGTGCTCCCCCAGTCTGAAAGTAGTTCCCGCGCCCCTGACTTTCTCTACGCTATTGAATCATGCTGCTGATTCTAGTAGGTATCTACTACGCAACCTTCTCACATTAATTTTTCTCCAAGCGTTTTTGGGGGGGGGGCAAAAGATATGTTGGCCCCCCCTTTCAGGCTTTTGGGGGGGCATGGCCCCGGTGGCCCCCCCCTGGATCCGCCAGTGGGCACTGTTCTGGCCTGGCTATGCTGTTCTGTGAGATGGATGTAGTAAGATTGTTGTTCTGTGAGCTCCCTCCTCCTCTCCTGGCGGCGTGTGAACGGAGCAGATCTCTCCCGATCAACTCGGCAGCTGGGGCGTGCATCATTCCGGGCAGTCATGATGAATAATGCCGCACCATCACTCAGCTACCTAGTCCGCCTCGGCAGCTTTCGAGAGACAGCGACTAATTGGCCAACGGGATTGTCGTTTTCAGCATCAGCGCACGTAGACACCACAAAACATCACGTTTCACGAGCGTAATAAGTAATAGCTGCAGAAGCAAATAGCATGTAATTATTTTCAGATCGTAAGCCTAGCACAGAATGTCACATCCCTTTCTCTCTCATACTTTGCGGCATGCACTGGATTCTGAGTGGTGCTGAATGTGAAACGGTGCCTACCGGCCACCGCGGCCCTGCGGCACGAGCCGACCGGACTGCATCGCCCATCCAGCACCCGAACGGGATTCTCTCCGAGGTAAGATAATTCACAGCTCTGTGTTTTTAAACTACAGATATGATTAAGTTAGTTCATAGGGAACAAGCATCCGTGAAAGCGTTGAATTGATTATGCGGTGGGTAGAACATATCGACCAAACTGGGTCCCGTTCGTCAGCCGCGCCCGTGGGCCTGTGCCCTTCCTCGTGTCACACTAAATGGCAGAACGCATTGCAGGACGAGTGGTTGCAGCCGAGGAGTTTACTGGATCGATAATGCGCAATCGCACCCAAGGCGTAGCTTTCAAATAACACCAGTTACTGGGCGATGAAGTCGCCATATCGAATTACAAAAGTAAAACAAACGTATGACCAATCGAAACATGCTCAGCGATAAGATGAATATGTTGGATATAACAGCCTACGACATTTCGACTAGGTGTATTTTTCTTTCTTTTTTAGATGAAGATAAGTGACCTTGATCATTTAACCCGCGCGGGGCTGGGGTCTCCAGCCGAACGCGCGGGGCTGGGGGGGGGGGGGGGTAAATTTTACCCCCCCTGTTATCTCCCGAACTAATGGTCCGATTTGGAAAATT